AAAAGAAATAAATTAAAGGAATAAGGATAACAATTGAAGAAGTCAAATTATCATTATTTGTGGATAACATAACACTCTACATAGAAGATCCCAAAAACTCCACCAAAATGTTTCTAGATTTAATAACCAATTCAGTATCATAGCTGGTAACAAACTCAAGACTCAAAAATCAGTAGCCTTCCTATACACAAATAACAAATTCACTGAAAGAAATATTAGGAAAACAATAATAGCATCCGAAAAAATCACAATAGTGTCCCCAAAAATGAAATACCTACAAATCAATCTGATATTGGAAGTAAAAAACCTCTACATTGAAAACTACAGTACTCTGAAAAAAGGAGATCAAAGAGGATATCAGAAAATGGAAAGATATCACTTGCTCTTGGGTATGAAGAACTGATATAATGAAAATGGCCACAATTCCAAAATTGTTATACAGATTTAATACAATCCCATCAAAATTATAATAGCATATCCCACAGAATTGGAGAAAATAACCCTAAACTCTATTTATAACCAGAAGAGACCTAGAATAGCAAAGCCAATTCTGGGCAACAAAGGCAAGGTGGGGGACATCACAATCCCCAACTTGAAACTATACTATAAAGCTACTGTGACAAAAAAAAAAAAAAAAAAAAAGAGTGAAAAGAAAATAGCATGGCATTGACAAAGAAAACAGACATGAGGATCAGTGAAACAGAATAAAAGATGCAGAAATGACTCCAAACAAACTCAACCACTTTATCTTTGACAAAGGAGCCAAATACCTTCACTAGAAGTGGAAAAACTATCTTTTCACATGTTGAACACTAAAACTAGATCCATATCTCTCAGCATGCACTAAGTTAAAATAGAAAAGGATCAAAGATCTAAATATTAAAACATAAAGACTAAATCTGTTGGAAAATGGAACAGGTAGAACTCTTGAAGACATTGGTGTAGGCAAAGACTTTATGAACAAAACCCCGTTGCACAGGAAATTTTACAAAGAATTAACAGTTGGGATCTCATCTTATTAAAAAGCTTTTGCACAGCATGAGAAACCACCAACAGAGTGAAGAGACAAAGACTAATATCAAGAATATATGAAGAACCCCCAAAAATCAGATCCCCCAAATTGAAAGACCCAATCCAAACATGGGCACCTGAAATGAGGAGAGAAATTTCATTTCATTTCTCAGATGAAGAAGTAGAAATGGCAAGTAATATATGAAAAAATGTTCAACTTCACTGGTCATTTGAGAGATTAAAATTAAAACAATGCTGAGATTCCATCTCATTCCAGAAAAAAAAATGGCTATCATCAAGAAATCAATCAATAACTGATGCTGGTGGGGTTTTGGGGAAAAAGAACTTCTCCAAACCAAAATGTGTAATAGATATTGAGAAATGTGAAAAAAATGTTCAAATGAGAAGGGGAATGGAGTTGGGAGTGGAGGGACAAGAAGAAAAAGAATAGAAGGAAAAAATGGAAATAAAACTTTTGTAAAAAAAAAAGAGAGGGAAAGAGGGGCTAAAGGGAGGGAAGGGGAATAGGAAAAAAAGAAGCAAATATGTCATGCACATGTACAAACTCTATATGATAAATGTTATCATTATGTGTATCTAAAATGTACCAATAAAATGAAAAGAAAAGGAATAAATAAAACTAAAAAGGAGGCAATGAATCAAAGATTCAGTTCTTTGGAAGATTAAACAAAATAAACTCCTAACCAATCTTACTAAAATAAGGAAAGAAAAGACCCAAATATATGCAGCTAGAAATAAAAAGCAAAGTCACATTGTATTCCACCAAAATCCAGATGATCATCAGTAGCTATTTCAGAACTTATACTCTAATAAAATGGAAAATTCTGAATTCATATATATGAACTGCCAAAGCTGAGCCAAGAAGATACCAGAATCCTGAATAATGAAATATCACTCAGTGAAACTGAAGAAGTAATATAAAAACTACTAATTAAGAAAAGTCCAGGTCCCAGTGGGCTCACTGCCAAATACTACAAGAACGTCAGAGATCTAATGCCAATACTCCTCAAACTCTTTAATGAAAGGGAAGCAGTAACTCCCAAAGTTTACTTCCTGGAAGCAACCATTACCCTGATTCCAAAACCAGAAAAATACCCAATCAAAATAGAGAACTACAAGCCAGTCGTTTTAACGAATATAGATGTACAAATCCTCAATAAGACACTGGCAAACAGAATGCTTCAAATTATCAAAACGATCATCTCTCATGTCCAAGTAGAATTCATTCCAGAGATTCAGGAATGGCTTGACATAGGCAAATTAATAAATGTAATGTACCACATAAACAGAAGCAAGGACAAAAGTCACATGATTATCTCAATAGATACAGAAAAACATTTGACAAAATCCACTATCCATTCATGATAAAAAAAATTTTAAACCCTGAATAAAACAGGAATAGAAGGTCTTTATCTCAACCTGATGAAATCCATCTGTTATGGTTTGTGTCTAGATGTTTCCCCAAAGCCCATGCCCTCATAGGTGAAGCTTTTCAGAGGTGGCTGGATTTAGGGTGTGTGAAGATGGATTAAAGCTGTATGATAACTAAATTACTCCACTGATTGGTTCAGCATAGTAGTGCATGTGGCTAATGGGAAGGCTCACCCTGGGTGTTGGTGGCACCAACCAATAAGCTTGTGGCCTTGATGAAATAAAAGTTCAGAGGCTTTGCGGCTTGCTGCCTCCTACCTGCTCTGCCATGGACTGTTTCTCCTCTGTGATGCGCCTCTGCCATACCACCCTGCCTTGGAGCCAGCCAACAGTGATCTTAAACTTCTACAAAATGTGAGCTAAAATAAATCTTTCATCCTTCACCTTGTAGGTGTTGTATATTTTGTCCCAGCAATGAGAAAGTAACTAAGATACCATCTATGACAAAACCAATGACCAATATCATACTAAATGGGGAGAAGCTGAAAGCTTTTGCTTGAAAATCAAGAGCAACATAAGGATGTCTGCTATCACCACTCTTATTCAACGTGGGTCTCAAAACATTAGCTAGAGCAATTAGACAAGAGAAAGAAATAAAAGGGATGTTGATAAGAAAGGAAGAAGTTAAATCATCATTATTTGCAGATGACATGCTCTTCTACAAAGAGACCCTAAAAACTGCACCAAAAGATTCTCAGAATCTTTTCATTACTGAATAAATAGCATAGCAGGATACAAAGTCAACACTAAAAAATTAATAGTGTTCATATCCACCAGTACCAAACTCACCAAGGGAGAAATTAGGGAAACAATACCTTTCACGATGGCATCAAAAAATGAAATACTTAGGAATTAACCTAAGGAAGGAAGTGAAAGACTTTACAAGAAAACTATAGTATACTGAAAAAGGCAATTGAAGAGAATAACAGAAAAGGAAAGATATCCCCTATTCCTGGGTGCACATGATTCCTTTCATTGGAGATTGGTATTAGAAATCAAGATCTTGGCACTGTGTTTATTCCTATGTTTCTCCTCAGGCTCCTACAGGAAGGAAATAAATGTGTGTTAGTGTTGATAGCTATATGTACACATGGCTATAAATATTTCTATATGCAACCATCTGCATCTATTTTAAGCTAAGCACAAATTCATGCTGATTCCCTGACTTTAATCATTCCCATAATTATCATAATTGTAGCCTCCTCTCCCTGCTTATCTGTAAACCCCTGTTCGAAAAGAGAAAAACCCGGCTCTCCCCATGCACCCCCAATTTACCTGATTGTTCAATTAAGTATATACTTACAGCAGCATCAGAATTGTCAACCCTAACACCACAAGAAACATCTTAATCAACTAGAATATGAAGTTTCCAAGAGCAAAGTACAGTATGGGATAAAATAGTGACTTAACGGTGGAGAGGCCTCGGCCTGGTGACCATGCTAGAGCGTCAACAGCAACGTGTTGGTGGACAGTGAGTACCTTCAACACGATGTGACGACAGTAGCAGTTTGTCCCTGCAGTCTTCCTCTCCAAGCCCCACAGTCCCAGTTTAATCATGAGAGACCCATAGGGCAAATCCAAATGAAGGGACATACTACAAATTGACCACTGCTCCCCAAAGCTATCAATAGGTCAGGCTGGGGTTGTGGCTCAGTGGTCAAGCATGGGCTTAGCGTGTGCGAGGTCCGAGGTTCAATCCCAGGCACAAAACAGAACAAAACCAACAAAGTCATCAAAAACACAGAAAATATCACAACCAGAAGGAGCTTAAGGGGACATAACAACTACTGTAAATGCAAAGTGGTTTCTTGGATGAGATTTTGGAACAAAGAACATTAAGTAAAAACTAAGGAAAGATAAAATATGGGTGTTTACTAACGCTACATCAGTATTTGCTCATGAATTACATAAGGAAACAAGAGATGAATAATAAGGGAAATTGGATAGGGGGTATATGGGACTCTACTATCCTCATGGTTTTTCTATAAATCTAAAATTATCCTTTAAAAAATAAGGTTTATTTTTAAGAAATGAGTGGAAAAGCTCTACACCAAATTTGAGATGATGGTTACTTCTGGGATCCCCATGTCGCTATAATATTGAGTCATCATTTTAAGAGTATAGGCGCTGTCATGAAGCTGCCCATGGTCACTAATCACTGAGCCACGCAGACAAACTGTGCTGTATTCTGAGACCAGAGACGTTGCTGGGTCTGGGAAGAGGACAGGGTCAGGGAGAACTTCTAGGAAGTGAGACAACAGCTGGGCAGTGGAAAAGAGTGGAGAGGAGGGAAGAGTTTGAGAGAAAGTCCAAAGCTAGACGTTGGCTGAGACGGCGTGGCGTGTGGTGTCCCACAGTGCAGGAACCGTGTGCGGCCCTCCTGGCAGGAGAGATGAGAAGTAAACGGGGAATGGAGTGAAGAGTTAGATTTTCTCCTGTTTATGAGATGGTAGTCTGGGCTGTTGGCCTCCAGTAGCCCAGCCCTGGGCGAGGGGCCCGTGGGGAGCCTCTCTGCCAGACACTTACTTGTTTATGGGTCAGAAAGCAAAGCACCGGCCCTGACCACACTGTGTTTGCGTCCGGGACACTGGAGGGCTGCTGGCTGCTATGGGGGTGCTCAGCTGAGAATAGGGAAAGGCCCTCAGCTTCCAGCGTGAGGGCAACCCAGCTCTGCCCAGAGAGATGAGAGGAAACCCGAGCACAGCGCGGCCTTGTACACGGTCTTGCTGCTGCCCTGCCCTCCCTGCTGCCACCGCACAGGTGCCACACGCCCGAACCAGCTCCCTGCCTGCCACCACGGCCACAGTGGAGCAGAGCCAGAGAGCAGATGTGGAGGACAAAGAGCTCACGCCTTCTGAAACCACCCAGCACGGCTCTGGGGAGAGAAACACAGAATCCAAGAATTTGAAGAACCTAGGAAGACATTAGACGGCAGACACGGCGTCTCGTACGGGACTTCCCCCTGGCTGACCTGAATGAGCCGCCACAGCCAGCTTGACAAGGACCCTGCCCCGCCTCAGATGAGCCCCAAGAGCAGTCCAAGATGTGGGCACCAAGAAGGACAAAAGAAGGCGAGCAAATGTCTCCACGAAAGGAAGCTAAAGTGTTGACACAGCCGAAAGCAGCACAGTCCTGGAGGGGACGCTGGGCCAGGAAGATCAAAGGATGTTACAGGGACAACTGGGGAACCTAAATATGAACTACAGATTGCACAATAACACGACATCAAAGATCAACTTCTGACTTTGATAGTTGTGTCGTTTGATAATTATGGTTATAGACGATAAGGCCTTTACCCTTGGGGAATCCATTCTGAAGTGTTCAGTGTTACTGGAACAAAATGTCCACAGGTGCCTTTCAAAGGCTTCAGAAAAATACTACTACAGCACAAAGAAAGAGCACTAAGCAAAGGTGGGAAAATGTTCGTTTGTAAATCTCAGTGAAGGGTAATTGGAACTTCTTTGTGTCGTTCTTTTTACCTTTTTATAGGTTTGAAATCAGTCTGAAAAACGTTAAGTGCTTTTCAAATGTATGCAAATTCTCCCAAAGGGACTGAAGTTTTTCCAGGTCCAGAATGGGACGTGATGCTCTCGCAACCACTGCTCTAGGCTCAGGAGCCATGCAGAGCACCCCAGTGCCCTCTGATACTTGAAGACGGTTGTCCTTTCCTCCACTCACGGGGCCGCGTAGGCGCTCCCCCTCTTCGGGCTGACCCGTGTAGGGGATGCGTTGTCAGTGCAGAACCCTCACCCACCTCTTCTATTTTCTTGCTCGCTTTTTACTGGCACGGAGTCCTGGCAGCAGCTTCTCTGAGGGAGTCCTGGAGCCAAGATGCCCCACCAGTTTCTCCCCCTTGGCCAGATTTGGGCAACCTGAGTGTGCAGGAAACTGGGGCTGGTAAGTCATTTCCTTGAACACTCCGCAGGGATTGCAGCTTGGATTCTCTAAGATGGCTGGGAAGCTTGGCAGCTAAAATGGCACTTTGCTAAATTTGGCCGCCCCCAGGGAGGAAATGAGACTTTTCCCATCAGGAAGTCTGCTTTGGCTAACGTCTCTATCCCGTCTGTCATGCCATCCTCTGCCAGCATCCAGGAGCTGCCTGGAGTGCAGAATCTGTTTGCCTGCAGATGGGGAAGAGGGGGCAGCTGACAAGCTCTGGGAGAGGCTGGCGCCTGCCAGGCCACTGCCCCTGCAGCCATCACGACTCTGTTCTTGGCAGGACTTTTGCAGCCCTGAGCATCTGAGGACTGGCAGGAGAGAGCAAGGAGTCCCTGGTGCCCCTTGCTGCTTGCAGGCAGGGCTCCTCACTAAACACAGGACAGGCAGGAGCAGGAAGGCGTCATCCAGAGCGGAGTACACAGACCAATGGGTCAGGGACCGTACATAATTTACAGTGTATGGTTCATACTTTCTTTAAGTATTTGTGGAGAACATTTAACAATGAAGAGGAATCACATTTTTTTAAAGTCCCACATCCTCTCACTGAAAGTTTAGCAGCTCTGCACACTCGCGTGGCTGCAGTCAGCTCCTACTCCACTGCCGTGGCCCTGGGGCAAGGGATCCACGCTGTGTTTAGCCACAGGTCTCACCACTCCTCACTACCCCCGACTCTGGCATTCAGGGCCACTTTGCATTCATCATCACATTGCACTGTTGTCGTTCCTGGGGTAGACTTGTGTTTTTTCTATCCTTGTCTCTCTCTCCAAAGTGGGAGAGCACAGGAGGTCTGAAGGGCATCTCAAGGAGAAGTATCATCCACACCTGCCACTGTGCCTGCTTATTTGCATCTCTACCCTTCTGACCCTGAAAACTGGGCATCTTGCGTCACAGAATTGGATTCTCAGTTTTCTTTGGTGCTCACATAGGACCTGGTCAATGCGATGTAGACACACCTTGCATGAAAGAGCATCAAATCCTTCCAGGAAGAGACTACAGCTCCTTCCTCTTTCTTAATAAACCCATTCACTCACCCACACGCACACACACACACCATATACTTTAGGGCTGGAGATTAAACCTAGTGCCTTATGCATGCTAGACAAATACTCTACCACTGAGCCACACTCTCAGTCCACCCAATAAGTCCATTCTTAATTTAAAGCAATCAAAATCAGCATGGCTGATGGTCCCACACCCTCCCACAACTGCCTCCCACTGAGAGAAGCTGGAAGTCTTCCTCAGGCCCTTCCTGTCTGTCCCCTCAACTGGTATCCCTGGGGTCAGAAAGGGAAGAGTCCGTGGAGGGAGGGAAGGAGTGAGCAGGTGACAGAGCAAAGCCTAGGGTGCAGAAGGGAAGGGTGAGGTGCTTCGTCCTGTCATCCCCAGAGGAGCTAAAATGAGGGCTGTGATGGCAACTCCAAAGAAGGTCATCCACGCAGGGCAGAGATGTTCTGACGTGACTGAAAAAAGGTGGGAGCCTCCACTGTAAGCTTGTGAGAACCACACAGTAATGTGCCATGAATACAAGGTCTTTTTGTTTAATAAAACCCATGATTAAATTGTGAACAGTTCTCCTGTCGTGTATGTGCGTGCACACCTGATTTCTACGTCACAGATTTTCAAGTCTCGTCTTGACATTTCTGTTTTTCTCTTCACATACCAGTAGGTCCCAAGCTGAAAGTGCCCCCGGCCGTGTCTTCCCTCTGGGAGCCCCCAGCCCTGTGTCCTCCAGTGGGACAGTCACGGTTGATCATGTCACCCACCACAGCCTGTCCTGGGGAGGACAGACCAGGGCCCTCGGGATTAGCCCAAGGCCACCAATTGCCACACATGAGCTTTGCTTTGGCAGGGAATGCTCGGATTCCCAGGGTGAGAAAGACAGGAGAGTTCCCAAGTCGTGGGTCTGAGTGGCAGCTGCTATCCCCTTACCTGGGCCTCCTTCTCAGTACTGACCTCAGCTTCAGCTTCTCTTGACACACCTGCCTGGAGCCTTCCTCTCCAACTGCCCCATTTAACTGCCACTCTCACCACGCTGAGGAGGGAACCCTGGGGGACCCAACATTCCCTCGGCCACATTAAAGGGCACTCCCCTCCCAGGACAGGCCCAGGCCAGACAGGTGTGGCTCCTTCTGTAACACAGCCAACTCCTGGCCTGCCTGCCTCCCACTGGCATAAGAGAGGGCCTAAGCCCCCCTCCAGCCCCCTTTCTGAGGATGAGGAAAGCACCAAGCCAGGCCCTCATGACTGGCTGGGCAAAGGAGGCCAGCGCCCACAACACACACCTCCCCTAGCCCTGCCTGGGAGAATGCATATAATTCCTTCCTCGGTGTTCCAGGGAAGGTGAAACACCCTGGGTCAAGAGAGGGAAAGGGAATCCAATCTTCAAAGCAGGGAGGTCAAACACCCAGTCCACCCAGGACAAGTCCAGAGCACAAAGAGATAGAGGAAATCAGAAACCAGCCACTGGAACTTTTGGAAATGATAGCAGCAGAAGTGAAAAAAAAAAAAAAAAAATGGAAGAGGCTATAGAAAAAACAAAACAGGGAAGTATCTTTCATTCACTCGTTCCCCATTCATTTTTGCCAAAATAACAGGGCAATTGGAACTCAGCATCCTTTTCTAGAAAACCAGCATGCAGCTAGCTCTTGCACATGGAGCTTCTTCTTGTCCTTCTGCCAGTGTTGCAAACTCTGGAGCGTGGGCTCGGGTCTCGTGTGCTCGCTTGTGTCCCTCTGGCCTTGCTCAGAGCAGGTGCCAGGTGCAAAGTCAGTGGAAGGATTCCACAGTGGCCAATGTGCCAATGCGCTGGGTAAGAAGGAGCGAAACCTCCAAATTCAGAAAGAGCAAATCCTGATTCACTTTTAAGAATGCATGGATGACCCACCAGGCCTTCTGTAACTAACTCATATGGTGGGTGTTATGATGACTTCTGCCAGAGCACGGGCCCCTCCTCCTCCCCCACCATGGTCTTGCTCACTTCCATTTCAGTTTCCTGCAATCACCTGAAAATATCAAGTGGAAAATTCCAAAAATAACCTCTAAACTGTGCACCGTGCTAAGCAGTGTGAAAAACCTTGTGCCACCCGGCTCCCTCCCATCCCAGGCTGAGTCATCCCTTTGTTCTGTGGGCTGCCAACCCATTAGTCACCCGGCCATCATCTTGGTGATCAGATGGGCTGTCACAGAATCGCTGGCTCGTGTCCAAGCAACACTCATCTGATTACATAACAGCCCCAAGGTAAAAGAGTAGGGATTCGGGCCATCTGATTACAGTATATTGTTATAATTGTTCTATTTCATCAGTTACTGTTGTTCTTCTCTTACTGCACTCACATAAATTTAACTTTATCACAGGTAGGTATGCTAGGAAAAAACATGGTTTGCATAGGGCTCGGTACCATTGCAGTTTCAGGCATCCACCGAGGGTCTGGAAGCGATCCCCTTCAATGCACAGCAGGAGGACATGTATGTCAAACCTCCCAGGTCTCTTCTGACTCTTATCCTGGTCAGCTCTCCGCCCCCTGCTGGTTGTTTCTGGCTTCTCCCCTTCTGGAGAGCAATTTATTCACAGCCTTCGCCTGACCTATTATTCCTCTTCCTGCCCAAAAGGAGGGGCCCTGGGGAAGCTTGGCGACAGTTACAGAATTGGACAATGTGTTCTCCAAAGCCAGGTCTCCGCCCTGGGAATGGGCACGGCCAGCAGGGGCTTTCTGTAGTGAGCCCACAGTGTCCCACTGAATTTGTCTCCTCCCCTCCCTCGGCGCATGCAAATCACTGCTGATAGCATCACCTGACATTTGCGGAGCCCTCTGTGTATCCCGGAGTTCTTTAGTATGTGACCTTCACAACAACTGGGGCCTACAGACTCGGCAGCCTCCCTTTCACAGCTTCCCAGCAGATTCAGATTCAGACACTGCCAGGCTTCTGGAAAGAGGACACCAGGCAGGTTTTCTTTGCACTCAACACACAGGAGGGCGGGACAGATGGATCTCTCCCAAGACACACAGTATTTTGGTGCTAGGGAAAGAAGATAGGAGAAGACACTGGAGAGGAATGAAGGAGAACGTTGTCCAGTCTCTGCCCAAGCTAGTCTTTCAGAGAGAGCAAATCTGTCTCTGGCAGTGGGCAGGTCTACCGAGGTCTGGACCAGTCCAGCCTGGGGGCACCAGGGTGGGTGGAGGGGAGGGCACCAGAAATCTTTGCTGTGATTTCCTCAGAACTGAAAAACAGTTCTATTTTGTGTACTCTCCAACACCTCTGGGGCCAAGGGCTCTCAGGCATAACAGGGTTTATGAGCCATTGTAGATCACATTTAAGACACTTTCCCAAAGCTCCTACACAGGACAGGGTAATAGGAGAAAGGTCCACAGGACCAGAGCTAACAACATCTTTATAAACTTTAGGTAACCTTTGGCATGGTAACCTTTGCTGGCTACAGATAGTATTACAGACAGCTAAGTTAGATAGAAATTAATAAGCAGCCAAAGAAGGATCCACTCTAGGGCTGGGGATACAGCTCAGTGGCATAAGCACCTGCCTGGCAAGGGCAAGGTCCTAAGTTCGATTCCCGGTACCAAAAAAAAAAAAAAAGAAGGATCTGCCCTTGAGGGAGTCAGTGCAGATGATGAGGTGCATCCAAAGAAAGCCAGGCCTCGAGATGGAGATGCAATAGCCAAGTCTGCAGGCCTCCCTTGCAATAAACAGCAACTTGAGATTCTACTGTAATAGCACTACTTGGTCCCATGAGCCCAGAAAATCATCAGGCTCATTGGGGGGCAACCAGAACATACAGACCCATACTCCCTTCCCTTTCTAGGAATGCCTTTGTTCTTTCCAAGGACCCTTGCTCCGTGACTCATTTCCCTATTGGGTCAGTATTACCTACAAAACTATGCTTGGGATCCTATAGGTTGGTTGTAGTCTGACCCCCGTTGTACCCACACTGATTTTGCTGTGTACATTACCCCTGACAAAGGGCTTAGGTGGCCACCCACTCCTGGAAATCCAGAAGTTCTTCTTGTCCTCCTTATTTCCATTAAGAGTCTCCGAACTGCCTCCTTTGGATTTCAACTTCATTCCTTGATGCTGTGAGACCATCCATGAACTCAGCACCTCTGACACCTAACCGCTTGGGAGTTATTTTCCTCGTAACACTAGGAGACCAGGATAACACAGCCTGAGAGAAGCTTTGGGCCATGCAGCAGTCCATAGGGAAAGGAGATTCTGCTTCTGGATTGCTTGGAGTCAATGATCTAGAAAGTTTATAACAGCATGGTACAGAGGCCCTGGTGGACAGCCTTGATGGGATTTAAGTCAAGGTCACCATAAGCGATGGCTTTGTTGGTTTCACCTGCAGCTATTAACTAAAGACGTTCCCATCTACCTTTTCCCCTCTACTGTCTGGCCTTTGTCCTTAAATTTAGGAAATGTTGTTTTTTTTTTCTTTGATCAGTACAGTGATATACATGTATACACTGTACATCACTTGTGTACAAGTATATATGCATATACCAGGAGTCTATGGCAGATGATAGAAATCAGTGCTAAGTAGGAAAGAGAATTTTCCCAACTCTGAGGTTAGGTGAGACCGTTATTCCAAAGTGGGGCTCTGGATGAAATCTTTAAACTAGAGTATTACACACATGTGAGCCTGCACACACATATAAAGATGCCTATGTATCTAAAGAAAGACAGAGGCAGATGGGGGAGAGAGACAGAGACAGAGAGACCTAGCCAAAAGGCCTAGAAAGCACTTAGAAGTCAGCATGTAGAGTTGTATAGACTCGATATCATGTAGTTGTCAAGTGTAGGAACTCTGGAACCATGGAATCAGACCTGACCTCAAAGTTTCTAAATTTCCAGCTCCAAAATGAGAATGCTGTCTCAAAGCGTTGTAAACTAAGGGTTCAATTAGATGTCCTAAATGGAGGGCTTAGCACAGTGCCTTCCACATAGTAAACACTCATTAAACAGTAGCTAGTTTTAAATTAGCATGATCTCACAATAAATAAACATTCTACCTTCAGGTTGGTGTTAGGATCCATGTTGCGGAAGCACACTGAAGTGTCACTAAAGGAACGGGATTGGTTTCTTCGCATTGTTTGTCTGCTGAACTAAAGAGATACAGGAGGAAAACCAAAGCTGACATCAAACAGCCTTGCACGGTGGTGGTGTGGAATTTGAATGGACTTTTAAAACAATAAGGGGAAGAAATATAGCAGGATTAGTGGACCAGAAATGCATGCATACTACAATTAGAGAACAAGCCTTCTAATGAAGAACAAAAAGATTTCATAGGCAGAAAATGTGGGTCCTGGCCTCTGCTCCATTACTCAGGGCTTAAGGCCCTGAGCAAATCCTTTGCTCCGAGAGCTGAGCCTGGGAATTAAAACTCGCCCCACACAAATACACCAGAAAAATTATGCTGACCCTGAACAACGAAAGGTTTTCTTGAAATGATTGGATTGGGATGATGCTTTTGTAATATGTCTGTTTCTTCCTCTGCATTGACTGCCCTGGAGCTCCAGACAAAGCCAGTCATCTCCAGCCACTGCACCCTTTCCTACGTTTTAAGTGAAATGATGGAATTGCTGCATGACGTCTAACTCGGGAACAGGGAAAGTGCCAGGGCCATGAGTGTGGGGAAAAGGAGAAGGGAGCGTTCCAGTGATTTCCAGATCCTCACCCAGGAACAGAGATTTACAAGTCAGTATGGTTTTCTCTAGAGGACAGTGCAGATCACAAAGCATTTGGGAACCAAGGATTTGGTAAGGAACATCATTTATAAATTGGAGAAGTATACTCCTCTTTGTCCTAATGAGAAATGCTTTGCCCTGACGCTACCCAGAGTTGCCTCACTGGGTGGTAAAAACTAGAGAAAGGAGGGCCACTCATGGAAAAATCAAACTGCCAAGGGGTCACAGCGTGCTAATCCCCACACTCTGAGCAGACCAGACCTGACCCCTGGAGACAGGCAAGACCGTTGTGCCGAGCCCTCACTGCCTCCCGGCCCTCCTCACTCTTTCCCTCCTGTTTTAGATTCAGGTTCCAGGCCAGCCTTGGAAAGCCAGTGGCGTAGCTCTGAGCTAGACACTCCTTTGCCTGAGACTCACCTTCTCCCCATAAAATCAAAGACCTGAATCAGCTGAGGGTTCTTGACCCTTCTTGCATGCCATGGACCTCTTTGATACTCCAGCATATTCTCAGAATAGTATTCCTAATGCCCAAAGCAAAGTACATAAAATTACAAAGATAACCAATTTCTTGAATGTGGTTATCAAAATATACACGAAAAGACAAAGTTGGGTGTGGTGAGCAACAGTCTTCTGTGTCGATGCAACAGTAGCATAAATGCCTATTTTGCGTTACCTAAAACAATTTAAGTGAGACTTGAGAATGTCTATTGTGTCAAAGTGAGTGACACAAATACTGCATAGTTTCTTGCCTCTGTTATAACAAGGGGAACACTAAATTTCAGTTAAAAATAGAGGCAAGTTTTAATCCAAATTCATGGACCCTGTGGATCTAGTTAAGAGGTCCATGGACCACAGGTTAACTTCTGGACTGCAATCTCCAAAGATGCTTCTCATTCTGACACAGTGGGGTTCCATAAAATCATCTACATGAGAAAGTGGTTGTAGTGGATTGCTAACTGGTGGTCAACTTATAACCCCCAGATGAACTGAGTAAGTGTGGTGCTGGGTGTGGGAGGCCCACCTGAGGACTGTTGCCAGCAGCATAAGAGGCAGACCTGGAGAAGAAGAAGCAGGCTGTTGGGAGCTGAGAGAGGCTGTTGGGAACTGAGAGAGGCTGTGGGGAGCTGGCTTTCCTGATGAACTTGGCTGTTTTCATCCTCCAAGGAGCTCGGGACCTCGCTAGCACTGAGAATGGCTTTGGTTCACTTTGGGGAGCTCTGGTCCTCACTTTGAGCATAGTTGCCTGGTTCCGGAGGGGAAGATGGTGCACTGCCGGCCTCCTGGAAAAGCTTGCTGCATTGGCTTCCCTGATGAGAACTCGGCCATCCTGATCATTGGAGGAGCTTGGGACCTCATTGTTGTCGAGGATGGCTGTGGTACCTTTTGAGGGAGCTCTGGTTCTTCTGAGCCTCACTTCCTGGCTCCAGTGCAGATCCCTCAGCCTGCCAGCACAGGTCCTTCTTCCTGCTGGCACAGACTTTGTAGATTCCACCACTGATCTTGGGCCTTTCCAGCAGATCCATGAAACAGGTCCGCATGAGACGTTGTCATGGGCTCTGGGCCTCCAGTTGGATTCACGGGAGGCATTGTTATGAGCTCTGGGTATTCAGCTCAACTCATGTAAGACATTGTTGTGGGATCCAGGCCCTCAGCTGGATTCCTTGGTCTTAGTGTGTGGACAGATTTCCTGCACTCTTTTGTATACTGTTCTTTGGGTGACTTATAAATAATCACATAAAGTATGTGTCCTGTATTATGTTGTTCTCCTTGCAAAATAAGCCCCAAACCAACACAGTGGTGTAGAATAGGTGTCATCTGAGATAATAGGGTGAGATTTTGGCGTCTTCACCTCTGGCACCAGTGTGTCTTACAGAGTGGAAAGTGTGTTTGTTTAGAGAACTGTTCTGAGGTGTCTTTTGGGGCAGACCGTGAGACCCTGACAACTTGTTTGATAGGAAAAGTTGTCAAAAGCAAGAGTTTAACTGCTCTGAATAAAAGAAATCTGAGAATTGGGACTTGGGGACAGGGAAGGCACAAGGATATTGGTAAACAGCAAAAAGGGGCAGCAAAGGACTGCCACGGTTCAAGTTAGAGCCTCCCCTTCCCCCCCTCTGGTCCCTCTCAGGGTGTGGGTTACAGGTCGATGAGCGGTTGTGCCGTCTGTTTAGCTTTTTTTCTCTTCCAGTGCTGTCCAGCTCTGGAGATAGTGGAGGGCAGAACTATGGAGCCACTGTCACCTTTTATCTATACACCAGCTGCTGCCACCGCGACCCCCATTCATCTACCCCATCCTGAGCTGTCTGCTGCCCTTGGCCATGAGAAAAGCTAGGTCCCACACCCACTCACCACTTAAGAATTAGAATATCACCAATATGTTTTTTTAAAATCCTAAATAATACTTTTTTAAAAAAAATTCTGCTTTATTGGAGCCCATAGTTCTCAAATTTTGCTCAGATTCTCTTAAAACTTATAAAAATACTGACACCCAGCTTTCATGCAAACCAGTTAAACCAGAGACTCTAGAAGTAGACAGCAATATTTCAAAATTCTTTAGGTGACCCCAACATGTGCCCGACTCTGGGAATCAGCCCAGGAAGAGAGGCTGCCGCTGGGGATGGGGACAGGGCAGTGGGATGCGGTCCGGTAGATGGAGTGGCCACAGGGGCTATTTCCTATGCCTGACCGAGCATGAGCGCTTCCCTGGTGCAGTCTCAGTGAAGCCTCCCAGTTTTGAAACCAGCAAGACCTTCCGGCATCTTTGGGAAGAAGCTGCCATCTGCTGGCCTGGTGGAGGACAGCAGGCACTACATTTGCTGGGCAAGGAGCCCCTGAACCAAGTGTTCTGGTAGCAGCACTGTTCTTAGAGCTCTTCCCCTTGTCCATCAGAGAACACTGTCCCAGGGGCTGGGGATTTAGCTCAGTGGCAAAAGCGCCTGCCTGGCAAGCGCAAGGTCGTGAGTTCGGTTCCCGGTACCGGAAAAAGAGAACACTGTCCCAAAGCAGCTCTAGGAGGGGCAGGGCCTGGTGAGAAGAGCCATTTTTTCTTTTTTGCTAATTGTTCTATACATTTATCAATAGTTATTACTAATTCAGAGAGAGAGGACAAAAGCTCAGTCTTTACAATTTCACAATATGCACTTTGGAGAAAATGTGACTGAGATGGATCAACAGTATCCTAGGGTCCTGGAAGATGCATTCCTAGGGCGGGGTGAGCCTCATACTCCTGGTGGAGCGGAGTATCTTGCTACTCTCACCCACGGTCATTCTCATTCCTGGAAGGGCTATATGCCTATTGGTGTCCCTCGGGTGATCTCACACCAGGTGGAAGAGCCATAATACCCAGACGCAGGGTTGCTCCACCTGTAGGTGGAGTGGAGTCCACCCCCTGGGGAGATGCAGGGTTGGGGCTCCAATAATCCCAGCGGTAGCAACAGCAGCCACTGCTACAATCTCTTCCCTGCAAAGTCACCTCAGCTCCTCAGCAGGGCCTGGTACTCTCCCAGGAGCCTGAGAAATTGGTATACTCCTCTGCCAATTCCCTTCTAACCCCAGGATCTCCTGCATCTGGGAGACGGTACTGAGTGGTACCCAGTGGTACTGAGCAATGCCAGTATCTTTAAGGGGCATCCCCTTCCCTGGTCATGGACACCCCATTCCCTTCACAAAGCAATACTGTTACCAGGATCTGGGGTGCTGTGTTCTTCCCAGGGATAATTTGCATGTTCTTGTTGCCCTGAAAAAGAGATAGGCAGAACACATGAAAATGATAGCAAGATTTTACATTTATGAGAGATAAAAAAAGAACTCCGCTGTGCTGAATGCAGAGCGGTCCACTGAAAAGGCTCACAGTGGCCACAAGGCCAATAGCAATGATCTTTTGTATCCCCTCTTCTGACATCAGGTCTAGGCTGTACTATCACAAACCTGCTTGAATTGACACAAGAAGAATTGAAGATAGCATTCTCTGATTGGTCCCAGGTACAGGCTTGGGCACATACGTCCTGGACCTCTGTGATTAACAGGTCCCGCCCACTTGCCCAGCCAGCTGGCCATGCCCTAATCACCTGCCTCAACGCCAAACCCCAAACCCACCTTTCTTCGCACTCTGGCTGTTTCATTGTCTTTTCTTGGCCTTCCTGAACTCACCACCACCACAGAGGACCAAACTCAAGTTCTTGTCAGAAGCCTTAAAGGGGCAAATCATGATTCAATTGTCTTGAGAACACATTGCATTCTAGTGAATGTATGGTAGCATCTTGCTACTCTCACCCACGGTCATGATTGCAGTTCCACTAAAATCCAGTATGAACAGTAAAGTGTTGGGATCCTTAATACCTGGGGGAGATAATAGGCAAAGATAAGATATGAGTTTGCCTAGTAACAGTGCAAGCTGGCCGGGAGTTTCATAATCAGTGAAATAATCAGTGGCCTTGCTGCTCCTGTCCCGCTTTAACCCATCTTGGTATCTCAACTGAGAATGCCTGTCTCTGTTCTGCTGGGAACTCGGTTCAGCTGAGAACGCTTGGGTACAGCTGATGCTTTTGTTGCTCAGTAAGGCTGTCAGTCCTTCTGAACTGGCCCAATGAGGTACGACCTCTGCCCCATGCTGGTTTCGTTCACCTGAGATGGAAGCAATCCTTGCTTGCCATTCTGCACCCAGTCATTGTCACTTGGTGACACTACAGCCCCACAGAGGCAGGTTAGGACAGTATGGGGGCTCCCCAGCACTCCTCATCACCCCTCAAAAGAGGAAGGGAAGGATTGGTGGAACTAACAGGATGAAGGGATATTTAAGAAGAAAAAAAGATGTTCACCTGGGAAAAAAAGCAGGTACCATCAGCAAGTCCTGGGAAGGGAAGTGAAAGTGACAAACAGGGTCACCATCTTCAGGTGGAAGTGGCCTCACTCCTGCTTAGTCCAGAAGTTGCATCAGCTCTGGTCTTTGTTCCCTCCTGCAGGGATTTGTTTGCTGTTCTCTCTGCCTTGAACCTTCTCCTTGCCCAGTCCTCTCCATCTGAGTAAATGTTTGCTCATTACAGGTCTCTGTGAGTGACAACTATTCTTCTGCCTGGAAGCTTGTTCTGACTGCCCGGATCTCCCACCCCAGCATTACCTCTTGTCCCTCTCTTCTGGAATGGCTTGTTTGTTTGTTTACTGTCTACCTAGTCTCACAGATTCCAAATGCCATGAGGGCAGGGATATCATTACATCACTAGCACCATATCAGAGCAAGAACAGTGGAAATATCAATTTACTGAATTAAATTTTCTTTTGAAATTTTGGGACAGACACCATACTTGGAAAACAAAAGTACTTTGAAACTAACCCCCACAAAGTGGAGTCTCCCTATAAGTAGGTTGAAAATAAGTTTTCCTATGTAGGTATACGTACACATGTTGGAGGGACAGGGAGGGAATAAATTTATTTCCAAGTGGTATCTGTTATAAATTAACTATTCTACCTATTTATTTTTCTAATCTGTAAACAAATATATTAGACAGCTGCTATTTTCAGCCTACCAAGTACTCAGACCTGTCTCCTTTACATTGGAAGAACATTCCAGTTCTATTTTGGGAGCTGCTCCATTTTCAGTCTCTATTTTTTAGGAGAGCAAGCCCCAGCCCCAAGCCCAGGTGTGCATAAGTGACTTGGGCTTGACCATCACCATATTCCAACTGCTTAGCACATGATTGGTCCTGGAGTGCACATGACCCAGACTGACCCAGTGAGACAGCCCTGAAACTTCTGCTTGCTTCACTGGGGTCAGAAGGCTGGAGATGCTGAGCTGGTCCATGCTGGGAGCTCCATTGCCACAAGAAAGTGGAAGGCAGCGAGAAAATGAAGCTAAACAAACGGTGGGGGGGACAGAGTCCTCAAGACAGACATTTTTTGATCCTGGTACCCAGCCCAGAATTTTTTCTGGAACATTCTGTCACATGAGCCAATAAAAGTACCTTTTCCAGAAGTCAACCTGAGGGAGATTCTGTTGCTTGCAACTGAACCATTCTTAACTGACACGGAAAGCAGAGCAAAGAGTGTGACCTTTTTCCTTTTCCTGTTTTCTTTTCCACCAAATCAATACATCATGTGCAACACTCCTAACAGATCAGAACACTGTAACATGCTGTCACATTACGATGTAATTTTTCAGCGTATGAACTAAAAAGAGACACATGGCCACGTGACCTCGTGTCTCAGGCAGGACTGGGTTCTAATGTTTGGGAGCCACAGAGTGGCCCATTTCTAGTTTTCTCTCTTAATACCCTCTTGCATCCCAGCACCTGCCACCTCCTCTTGGCGCTGCTTCCAGGAGAAGGAGCCACGTCATGGGCTACAGGCCTTGCGGGGGCACCTTGGTCCTCCCTGAGCTCAGCCGCCAGGCTTCACGTGGTCTCCACCTCTCCTGAGCTTAGCAGAGAGTGGGCTCCTGCCTGCAGAGCTGCAAGCAATGACCCGGGCTACTTCTGCAGAACCTGGGGCCTGTCAGACTCCAAACCTGGAGGAAGGAGGGGAGGAGAGCAGGACAGGTGAGCTCAGTCTGGGAGCCTCTGCATGTTCTGCGTCTTCCAGCCAGCTTGGGAACATAGCAACTTTCACATTCCCGTGGATTACCAGGATTTGGTCACAGTTTCAGACAGTGGTGACAAAGTGGGCAATGACCAGCACTTTGCAGCCCCAGAAGGCCTCATAGATTGTGCGCTGGATCAGACTGTTCTACCCAGGTCAATGGAGGCTATGGCTTCATCAGTAAGGATGATCTGGGGTAGAACACAGGGGTAAAAGCAGCCTGCTTGGGCCCTGGGTATTGTCCTGGCTCTACCACTTATTCATCAGGCCTGCATTCCTGAGCTGGAAAGAGGAAATTGAGCTGAGTTCAAAACCTACTTTACGCAGGAGTTTTCCAAGACATTACCAAGAGAGTACTGAGTTTTAACAAACAGCAAACTACTTTAGTGATCAGAAGATCCTGGAAATGAAAATGGCTCAGGGCCTCATATGCTGGGCAAGCACTCAACCCCCCACCCCTGCCCCTGAGACTACTTCCTGTTTTATTAATTGCTTTCCTATCTGCCTGAATTTAACGAAAGCAACAACCCCCCAAAGGGAGCAGATGTACACCCGGGATGTACATGAGACTCCTAATGCCATTACAGATAGATATTCTCATTAGTCCAATGTATTTGTACTTATTTAACAATACACAATAAAAATCACAGCACAGAATACATGATGCACATTGCCTTTTGCCATGAAAGAAGGAACTGAGAAGTTTAGAAAGAGCTTCACACAGGTTGTAAATTCTGTTGTTCATTTCTCTTATGAAGAGGAAAAAAGTCCTACCTCTTCTGAAACCTTTTCCCCTGCAGGCCGTGTGGACCTCTTTGCCCACAGTGTGAACCAACAGATTTTGCATTTACCATGAATTGATACGGTGCATTTGGTGTATACACACATGTGTAAGAGTGTGTGTGTGTTTGTGTGTATGTGTGTACATATGTGTTGCTTCATGTGTGAAGGGGGTTTGTTCCTGGCTACTCCGGGTGCTGGAATTATAGTGAAATATCTGGAAAACTTGGAGAAACAATTTTACCTAAACATTTTATATGCAACAAGAGCTGGGGGATAGTTCAATTGTAGAGTGCATGTTCTGCATGTGTGAAGCCCTGGGTTTGGTCCTCAGCAATGCAAAAACAAAAACTAAGTCAATAAAAGTATGCAGTCTGCCCTGTATCTGCTGTTCTCTGATTCCTAATTCTATTAGAAACAAAGGGATGTCTTGCATCCAGGTTTTAAGAAGGGTATCCAGTAGGCAATTTTTAAATCAGTGGGTTTCGAATCTTGCCTTCTGGGGAAAGAGGATCTTACTTTGGTTCCAGTCATGCAGGATTCAGAGTACCAGGAGCCCAGGATGAGAATCTCACCCAGCATGCCTTGTCACTCACCACTTGAGGAGGAACGGCCATCAGTGACATGGGGGCCCTCAGGGCTCCTGTGGCAAGAACATACAGGATGGTCCCCTGCCCTGTGAGTGGAGGGAGTCAGCACAGTTTCCCATGCCACACATCACCAGTGACTCCTGATGGCCACTTGGTAGTGGTCATCTCACCTGGAAGCTACAAATCAGGGCTCAAGCAACGCAGAGCAGCTGCCTCTCCCCCACAGGGATACTGCCAGCACTCTCCATCACTTCTGCACACAGCCTCCCAGGGACCCTGGAGATCTGCACCGAGGGGAAGAAGAGACCCATGCAGGCCACTGTGGGGGACCTCCAGTCCCACAGTCACTGCATCTTGTGACACTCCATCCTCCACACTCCTTCCTCCTACTGTTCCCCAACTGCAAGGGGAGCTCTCTCCCACCTTGAGGGCTTTGTGTACAGGAGTTCCCATGACTGCTTCTAGCAAAGAACTCTTTCCTGCTGTCCTCATTAGTTTTGGTCTCAGCTCAACTGCCACATCCTTAAAGAGGCCTTGCCTGGCCAGGTGTGGTAGCACACACCTGTAATACCAGCATTCTGGGAAGCTGAGGCAGGAGGATCACTGTGGGGAGTAGCTGAGCTGGAGATCAGCCACACATTCAGGGCTAGAGCAAGGTCAGCCCTAAGGACACAGAGTGCCAGAGGCGAGCCATGTGAATCAGTTGTTGGGACTAAAGCAAAGCCAGTCCCAGAGACACGGGCTGCCAGAAGTAGACAATATAAATAAGTTGACCTCTGGCTCAGTGGCACATTGGCAGGTGTCTGGCCTTGGTGTTCCTCCCTGCTAACTACAGCACAGTTGGCTCAGAAAATGTTTTGCTTTCAGTGTTCTCAGCAAAACACTGAGACCTTGCACTCTGGGCCTCCTCGCATGCTTCCCCTCTTTTTACTGTGTATAAAGGTGCAGACCACACTGGGCTGTCACAGCCTCCCCATCTGAGGGATTAGGGCCCACCCCACTCCAGCTTTCCTTTTATGTGTCTTATCTCTTTTTGATCTCCCTCCACCCCTTCTCAGGACCCCACTGGCCTTGAAGGTCGCAGCAGATCACAAGCTCAAGCCCAGAATGAGCAACTTACCAGTTTAGTGGGAAAATTTCTCAAAAATAATTTCTAAAGGGCTGAAGATGTATCTCAGTGCAAAGGCCTTGGGTTTGATTCCAGTACCTCACAGGTTCTGCCTTGCCTGGCAGCCTTGCCAGCCTCCTTGTCAGGGGAGGTGCTCCTTTGGCAGCTGCTCTTGTCTCACTGTTACCAGTGCAGCACTCCTGTTCTGTGCACCGTATCATTTGTTGTCTTTATCTCCCATTGAATGTAAGTTCCAGGGGGACAGAGAGCTTTGCTGCCTGCAGTCTCACAGCCTAGAAGAGGGCCTGGCACATGGTTCATTCCTGGCCTCAGCCTTCCTTAACAATTCCAAGTCATCTCTTGAGATTATTTAACCCATGACCAAAGCAGCAGCGTCAGGGAGGCCCTGTGTGGAGCCCCAGGGACCTGCTTTCCCTGTGAAGATGCAACCTGAAACAAGGAACAGCCTTCGAGCTCCTCACAGTCTTAGTTAGGAAGGTCCTCTCCATGACATCCCAGAGCTGCTGTCCACTTAAGAGTCAGAGGGGTCTAGGCTGAGCCTGGTGCAGGACAGAAAGGAAGGCTCAGTAACCTGAAAATACTAAAGTTATATACACAGTAGGTGGCCAAGAACGGTTACAATGGGATTCCTGAGTACAAGAAACTCGTGAAACACTGAATGGCCATCTCTTGGTCTTCCCCAGCATCCTTTGCTTCTGTAGGCAACAGACTTCTTTGTTTGGGGGCCACCTCATCTCCAACCCTCAAGTCAGTATGGGAGCCCCTATGTTCCAGGTGGGCTCAACAGCCCTCTCCAGGAGTGCAACAAGCAACTGGAACACGAGCCAATCAATACATGGGAATCCTTGAGCACAGTGATTATGGGATACAATCAGAAATAGGGTGAAGATTTAATTTTTTAAATTATTACAGTAGAAGACACATTGCCATCAATCCCCCTCAAAATCTTCTCCCTCACTTTGAACACACTTATTATCCCATTGCTTTTGCCACTTTCTGAAGCACTTTGAAAGTTCTTTTTTGTGAATGTCTTTAATTGTGCTGTCCTGGCTACCTAATTGGCCTAAAGCAATTCAAAATGTTTTCATAGTCATTTTGACATCGAGAAAGATCCAGAAGTCACATGGTACCAGATTCAGTGAATAAGGTGGATAGGAACACATTGTAATGTTTTTATTCTACAGAAATTGTTGAAAATATTTTGAAACAACGCAGGACACAGGGGCAGCCATGACAGCCAAAAGACTTTCAGAAAGAGCACTTCCAGAACTGCTTCAGAAAGTAGAAGAATGAGGGGATAAGTGCGCTTCAGGTGACGGGGAGGGTTCTGAGAGAGATTAATGGCAATGTGTCTTTTACTGTAATAATTTTTTACTTAAATACACACACCCATATATATATAATAGACCAAAAAATTATATACATACTTCAGCAGTTCACTGTACTAATAAATGTCTGGAAACTAGTGGCCAGCACTTCGAGCCCTTCTTGCAATTGTAGAGACAAAGATAACTTGTGTTAATCTCATGATGTCTCAACAAATTTAGTATTAAAATGGTTACATAGTTTGTTTACTTTCCTGATGTACACAGTTTGGCAGAATACAGTGTAAGGTTTGAATCAGACCTCACTGTCCCAACTCCCAGCCTGCTGGCCAGCAGAAAGCACTACTCTCTGCAGGGAACTCAGCTCTCAGCAGGGAACTCACTCAGCTTAGCTCCCTGTCATGGCAAGCACAGAAAAGGTAATAAGATAGGACAGGGAATTTTACAGCTCCTGAGACATCAGGAGACATTCGGAGACACCCAAGAATTTCTATCAGACACTTCAGGGACTCTGCCTGCTGAGAGGCAAGACTGCCAGAGAACTTTAACCGCAGATGTTCATTGGGTTCATGTTCATGTTCATGTTCATGAACTTTAACCGCAGATGTTCACTGGGTTCATGTTCATGTTCAGACAGCTCACCTATCTCGAAGAAGCAGGAGGTGTGATGTTTTACTTGCATGACACTTGGTATTCTCCACAGGTACTTTGCAGACAGGCATGCTACAGCCCTTCCCCTTTCCCAGAGGAGGCTTACCAGTGTTAAGTGGTTTGTTCAAAGTAACAACAGAACTCAGTATGGAAATCAGGTTAGATGGAACCTTACAGGTAGAGACCCTGCATCTCTTGGATTCCAGTTCACAAGCAGGGGCTACCACAGGTGATGAGTTTAGGCTGCCTGAACCCCTTCCTTTTACTTATATATCCTTTAAAAAGATACCTTTCTCTCCAAGTTCTGTTTCGTCATCTGTACGGGAGGCAAAATAAAACAACTT